CAAGAAAGTCCAGTGCCTCTGAAAACGCATTTTGGGACAACCATGAACCAGGGTGACGGAATCTCACATGCAAGTAACAGTGAAGAATCCTGAATCAAGGAAGATTTTTTGAACTCCTGAATCTAAGGAATGAACAGCTGATTTGTACACTACGGGTTGGTGTGCAAAAAGGAGCTTTGGCTGCATGGGTGAAAGTCCTAATGCAAAGAATGCTTAAATTCCCATGTGTGTTAGCAACTCCTTAGATGCTGCATTTGTCACTGGTGAAGAGGCGAGCTTTTTTGTTTTGTTTCCCCATGTTCAAAAACTCGCTTCTTTGACACTAAGAGAATTTCTCCACCCTCTGGGGGGAAAAGGGAAAAACAGGCAAGTAGAGATTTTATCCTTTCAGTTACAGGCGAAAATGCAGACGTACGGAGCTGGAGAAAGGCGATATTCTGTTAAATAAGACGGAACACCCGATCCTCAGAAAATATATTGGGAATTTCTAAAAATCTGGGCCGAATAGCGAAGCCGTCCTCTGCATTTCTTCTGTCGGCGAATGTTTTATAACCTTTCATTTTATTGTTTAACAACTGTGTACAAGGTGTACAGTTCATTGGCGGGACCTTGATATTCTACGCCCGACTTTCTTCAGCCCCCTTCCTCCTTAAAAAACACTGCAAGTGTATTTATTTCCCCCCCCCCCCCCCCCGGCTGAGGAAACGCGATGGGTTCATTTCCTGTCAGCTTTCCCACACAAAAATGTACATTATATATTGTTTCTTTGTAACCCAATACATGCACAATTCTTCGTTCGGTGCATTGTTTGCTGACCGGTGTCGGTTTTTTTTCTCTTTGTGGATGGCTTCTGGTCTTCTCCTCTTAACCGCAAACAGAATGTGTATTTACGCTCAACACTTGGGGGGGGGGGGGGGGAATACCTCAGCTTAACACCGCAGTGAGCATGAAATTTCTGTGGCTAAGTAACATCGTGTTAGTGAGTTTTGCCCCATTTTACGACTTTTCTTGACATCTCTCCGTGGCCTTAAAATCTGACGCCAACTTAATGAATAAATAATCATTAAGCCTGTTGTGACAAATGAGGCAGCTACAGATCTGGCTGCACCATCCACAGGCCCGCTAGAGGGCGCAAGTTAAATGTTCCCAAGTTTTCCATTTGTTCTTCATTGCTTTCTGAGTTGGATAGTCCTCCCGTTTACAAAGGTCATTTAGTGACTCGTTCACAGTGACAACAGCACTGAAAAAGAAAAAGTGACGACCTGCTTTTCACACTTACGGCCATTGCAGCCTCGGCCAGGTCACGTGATCAAAATTCGACGCTTGCAACTGACTCATATTTATGACGGCTGCATGTCCCGGTGTCACATCATGACCTATTGTGATCTTCTGACAGGCAAATCTGGTGAAGCCAATTCACTTAACAATGGTGTTACTCACTTCACACACAGTGATGCACTTACCAACCATGGCCAAAGAATGTCAGAAATGGGCAGAACTCTTCATTGGCGACAGAGGTTTTAGCCCCTCTATTTGTGATGGTAAAGGTGAGGACGATCTGTATTTGCAGCTCAGATCTAATCACTTGGAGTATATAGAAGTGTGGTTTTTTTTAAAAAAAAAAAATCCATATGAACATCTGATTTTTTCAGTTATAGATGTGCACCAGAGGCAAAGCAGTTACCCATTTTTTGAATTCAAAAATTCTGTGTGAAAAGACTTCAAGGAAGCGAATTAGACATCTTAATAGAACCGAATTATTATAGTGCAAGAAGACTAAACATTCTTGATTATTCCTCAAATGCTGCAGAGGTTTGTCTATTCTATTCTGTTCTGTTCTGTTCTATTCTATTCTATTGCATATTTTCTATCCGTTCCATTGTATTGCATATTTTCTATTCTATTCTATTCTATTCTATTTAATTAAACTCAATGAAATAACTAAAATCAGCAAGATATCCTGACATAGAACAAGACATAACAGGCAAAACAATGTATCATGGCCAAATCTTGAAGACCAGTTTGGTCTAGCAGTGAATGCATCAGGCTAGAAACACGGAGATGGTGAGTTCCAGTCCCGCCTTAGGCACGAAAGACAGCTGGATGACTTTGGACCCAATCACCAGGAGACAGTGAGTTCTAGTCCCACCTTAGGCATCGAAGGCAGCTGGGTGACTATGGGCCAATCAATCAGGAAAAAGGGAATTCTAGTCCCGCATTAGGCACGAAAGACAGCTGGGTGACTTTGGGCCAATCACCAGGAGACGGTGAGTTCTAGTCCCATCTTAGGCACGAAAGCCAGCTGGGTGACTTTGGGCCAATCACCAGGAGACAGTGAGTTCTGGTCCCACTCTCCAGGTGGTGCCCCATCCAAAGAAACCGCAAGTCTGGTGCTGCTTAGCTTCCGAGATATCTTCATATAAAGCAGTGGTTCTCAGCCTGTCAAACGACCATTTCACGGGGGTCGCCAAACCACGCTGTCCGCCATTTTTTTTCCTTTTCCCTAGCTGTCCTACTCCCTCTTATCGGTGGCCACAGCCACTTGGGGGTCACCACAACATGGGGAACTGTATTATGGGGTCACGGCATTAGAAAGGTTGAGAACTACTGATATAAAGGGTTTGATGCTACCACCCAGCGTGGTTGCTGTACAACTGCTCTAGTTTCCAGGTCATCTGATTGACAAGATAAAGTTACGAAAGCATTTCTTCCATCCTGGATTTATTTCAAACGGCAGCCCTTCCTCCCACGACTTCCAAACAGGTCTAATTTTAAATGATCCGGCTGTAAACAATGGCTAAATTTAGGGCAGCAGGAGAAATCCACACCCCATCGTGAAGGGCAGATTGTCCCATAGTGAACCTACCGGTCAGATAATGTTATATCTGGGAGACAAAAACTAGACTAAGTGAAGCAGGTGGGTGCCCAAATTAAGGGGTGCAAGGAGAACCCTTATTTTTTTTCCTTCTCCAAGTGTTTTGAGACTAGCAATTATATTGTGTGGCCACCAGTGTCAGGACTCATAGCAGAAACTGTAGAGTAAGGCAGTGTCTACAAATCATAGCACTCCCACGTAGATGAACCAAAGCACGGGATCCGGTATATACATAGACCAGGGGTGGGGAACTATAGCCTTTTTATGACTTATGGACTTCAATTCCCAGAATTCCTGAGCCAGCATGGGGAACTAAGGCCCCTTTATGACTTGTGTGGACTTCAACTCCCAGAATTCCTGAGCCAGCATGGGGAACTAAGGCCCCCTTATGACTTCTGGACTTCAACTCCCAGAATTCCTCAGCCAGCATGGGGAACTATGGCCCCTTTATGACTTGTGAACTTCAACTCCCATAATTCCTCAGCCAGCATGGGGAACTAAGACCCCCTTATGACTTCTGGACTTCAACTCCCAGAATTCCTCAGCCAGCATGGGAAACTAAGGCCCCCCTTATGACTTGTGTGGACTTCAACTCCCAGAATTCCTCAGCCAGAATGGGAACTAAGACCCCCTTATGACTTGTGGACTTCAATTCCCAGAATTCCTGAGCCAGCATGGGGAACTAAGACCCCTTTATGACTTGTGGACTTCAACTCCCAGAATTCCTCAGCCAGCCATGCGGCTCAGGAATTCTGGGAGTTGAAGTCCACAAGTCATAAAAGGGCCTTAGTTTTCCCAGCTCTGACCTTTGTCATGATTAAAAAAAGAAAAAAAGAAACAACTAAGGAAGACACATGACAAAACCAACAACATCTTCAAAGGAATAAAATACACAAGGGAAGAAGAAAACAACACCACACCACCCTTCCTGGATATCCTCCTCAGCCGAGGAAATGACGGAAAATTAGAAACACATCTACAGAAAAACAACCCAGACTAAACAAGTGTTCCACTATCAGACTAACAAAACTCTGTAGTTTCTAGCAATTTCTAGTCCCACACCTCAGCCATGACAGCCCGCTGGGTGACTTTGGGCCAATCACCAGGAGACGGTGAGTTCTAGTCCTGTCTTAGGCATGAAAGCTGAATGGGTGACTTTGGCCCAATCATCAGGAGACGGTGAATCCTAATGCTGCTTTAGGCAAGAAAGTTTCGGCCAATCACCCGGAGGTGGTGAGTTCTAGTTCTGCTTTAGGCAAGAACGTTTGGGCCAATCACCCGGAGTGGGTGAGTTCTAGTCCTGTCTTAGGCAGGAAAGCTGGATGGGTAACTTTGGGCCAATCATAGGAGATGGTGAGTTCCAGTCCTGCTTTAGGCAAGAACCTTTGGGCCAATCACCAGGAGGTGGTGAGTTCTAGTCCTGCTTTAGGGAAGAACTTTTGGGCTAATCACCAGGAGACAGTGAGGAGAAGAAGAAAGTGGGATGAGGAAGGAGGAAGAGGAAATAGAAAAAGGAGGAGGAAAATAGAAGGAAGAGATAGAGAAGAAGAAGGTGGGATGGGGAAGGAGGAAGAGGAAACAGAAAAAGGAGGAGGAGGAGGAGGAGGGGGGGGGGAAATGTCGCCATGCTTCTGGCAATGAACGCTGCCCACACACCAGAAAAGGGTAACCATTGCAACATTTATTGAACTATAGAAGGCACTTACAATACTGGGAGAGAGAGGGGGGGAGGGAGGGAGGGAGGAAGGGAAGGAAGGAAGGAAGGAAGGAAGGAAGGAAGGAAGGAAGGAAGGAAGGAAGGAAGGAAGGAAGGAAGGAAGGAAGGAAAGAAAAAGAAAGAAAGAAAGAAAGAAAGAAAGAAAGAAAGAAAGAAAGAAAGAAAGAAAGAAAGAAAGAAAGAATCTCTCCAGAAATAAAGTCAGAAAAAGCTCGGACACGAGGAATTAAACGTTTGCCCAGGCAGAAGGGGGCACGCCCTTTCCTGTTAACGATACAAAGAAGGTGAAAAGAAACTTTACAGTCCACCAACTAGGGATTAAAATAGCGAAGACTATTTTTTTTTAATATAAAAAAGATAAAAATGTTTCTAGGATCAGCATGTTGTTTTTTTTAAAAAAAGAAAGAAAAGAAAAGAAAGAAAGAAAGAAAGAAAGAAAGAAAGAAAGAAAGAAAGAAAGAAAGAAAGAAAGAAAGAAAGAAAGAAAGAAAGAAAGAAAGAAAGAAAGAAAGAAAGAAAAAGTTTTGGTTTAAGATGCCCAACAGTAAAAAGGAATTCAGAGTGGAAAAGGTCTTCTGCCAGTCCCCCGACCGTCTCAATTCTTGCAGGAGAGAAGATCTTGGTACATTTCGGTCAGACGGGTCGCCTCTCTCTGGCCTGACAGCAAAGCACCATGGGTAGTGGAGTAGTACTTCCTGTGCGTCGCCTCGCCCGAAAACATCACCTGCAGAGGCTGGAGACCCAGGTGAGGGAGACCGCCGGAGGAGAAAGAAGAAAGAGGGAAGGAACTTAAGAAACGTTTTTCACAAATTAACAACACTACGGATCGAATTACGACGGTCCATTTAAAGTAGGGGTGTCCAACTCAATTTCACTGAGGGCTGCATCAGCATTGCGGTTGCCCTGGGGGGGTGTGTGTGGCCAAGGTGGGTGTGGCCTATTGGGTGGGTGTGGATGGAGTGGGTGTGGCCTGCTGGGTGGGCGTGGCCAGCTCTACATCGTTCGTATCAAGGGTGCCTGTGGGGGCCTGGGCAGGAGTGGGACAGATCTGAGGGTCTCTGGCAGAAGGGGGGGGGGACCAGGGCAGAGCCCATCAAGCCGGATAGGTGAAGCAGGCGAGGGCCATTTGCTGGCCACTTCCAGGCGATGGTGCATTTCTTCATTCCTCACAAAGGGTGACCCCTCCCCAGCATGCACCTAGGCGGCACGGGTGACGTGGCAGGGGCTGGTTCCTCGCTGTTTCCAGACGGCCTTGTGGAGCTAAGACTGAATGCGTTTCAGCATAGATGGCCACCACAAAATTGTACATTGGCTCCCGGCCGGCCTGGGCTAGGGCCAAGGCAGCGGGGGCCGTTCCCTCACTGTTTCCAGGATGGCTTCATGGGCCGCATGAAACCATGTCGCAGGCCGCATCCAGCCCCCGGGCCTTGTGTTTGACATGTCTGATTTAAAGGCACTGAAAAAAAGGGAAACTTAGGACACTTTTTCACACTCAAGACCGTGGCAGCCTCCCCGTGGCCGCGGGATCCAAATTCAGAGGCTTGGCGACTGACTCGCACTTACGACGGTCGCAATATCCTGGAGTCACATGATCCGCTTTTGCGACCTTTGGACAACGCCACTTAACATTTTACTAACTTCACAACTGCAGGGCTTAACAACGGTGGCAAGGGAGGTCGTAAAATGGGGCAGGACTCACTTAACAAGTGTCTCACTCAGCCGTAGAAATTTTGGGGTCCGTTGTGGTCGTAAGCCAAGGACTACCTGCCTCCTATCACATTACTTCACATCACAAAGCAATTCTATCACACGGCCTTTCAGGAACCAAGAGGACACCAGGAATAACTTCAGAAAATATTTACATATTCTAGATTCCTCCAGAGTCAAAAGAGATGTCGGAAGATCTAGTCTGGTTTACCAGTGAAGGCAACAGGATGGAAAGTTCTAGTGCTGCCTTAGGCATAAAAGCTGGCTGGGTGGACTGGCTGGGCCAATCACCAGGAGACAGTGAGTTCTAGTCCCGCCTTAGGCACGAAAGCCAGCCAGGTGACTTTGGGCCAATCACCAGGAGACGGTGAGTTCTAGTCCCGCCTTAGGCACGAAAGACAGCTGGATGACTTTGGGCCAATCACCAGGAGACGGTGAGTTCTAGTCCCGCCTTAGGCACGAAAGCCAGCCGGGTGACTTTGGGCCAATCACCAGGAGACGGTGAGTTCTAGTCCCGGCTTAGGCATGAAAACCGGCTGGGTGACTTTGGGCCAATCACCAGGAGACTGTGAGTTCTAGTCCCGCCTTAGGCACGAAAGCCAGCCGGGTGACTTTGGGCCAATCACCAGGAGACGGTGAGTTCTAGTCCCGCCTTAGTCACGAAAGACAGCTGGATGACTCTGGGCCAATCACCAGGAGACGGTGAGTTCTAGTCCCGCCTTAGGCATAAAAGCCAGCTGGGTGACTTTGGGCTATTCTTGCAGCCCAAACTACCTCCCAGGGTTGTTGTTGTTGTGGTGAAGAAAATAGGGGGAGGAAGCAGTATTACCGTAGGTACGTTTGCTGTCTTGAATTATGTATAAAGTAATAAACGCAGGATATAAATAAACAGATATATAAAAATTATGATATTCTATATAGCGCCTGATATATTCAGCTATGTTATTGTTTTGTTAATATTTTTATGTTTATACTTGTTATGTTTACCCTTCTCTTGCAGACATTTCATTACCCAACTAGCTAATAGCATCAATGCTAGAAGAGTAAGGTTTGCTGAGAGGAGGAGGAGGAGGAGGAGGAGGAGGAGGAGGAGGAGGAGGAGGAGGAGGGCGACGACGACTGTGGGGTCCTTGGTGCTCTCTGAGCCTGGTACTTTTCCTGCGGACGTTTCATGACCCAACTAGCTAACGTCATCAGTGCTAGCAGGACTAATACCTACCACTGTTTTGGAACTCTCTGTGTAAGGCAAGGGTTTCGCAAGTTTCTCCACATCTGCTCCGCTCGACCCTACCTGCGTGTAGGAGTAAGAGCCGCGGATATAGGGGTTGCTGCCCCAAGAGGATCGAAGGATCCGCCGAGGTTTCGGAATGTCTGGATTCCCTAAAGTGAAAAAAAAAAAGGAGATTGTGGTCACGTGACCCTAATTTAAAGGCTTGGCAAACGACTCGCATTTACGACAGTCGTAGCGTCCCTGAGTCACGTGATCCCGGTTTTGCGCCCTTCCGACCAGCCAAGCCCATGAGTAAGCCAGATTCACTTAACAACCAGGTTACTGACTTAACAACTGCAGCGATTCATTTAACAACCGTGGCAGCAAAGGTTGTAAAGTGGGGCAAAACAAATGCCTCACTTAACAACAGAAATTTGGGGCTCAAGTCCGGCCGTTAAGCCGAGGACTATCTGTATTGATTAAAAAGAGATTATTCTAGCAAGTATGACGTTTTGGTTGCGGAGAGCCGGTTTAACAGACAGGAGTTTAAAAAAAAAATCAAGGGGAATTTGGGTCCACCGTTAAATAAATATTATTAAAAAGTTTGCATCCGGCTCGTTCTGATGACGGTTGCAGAGTTACCTGACCATTTATTTACGGTCAGGCCCAGGTGGAAGAATGAAAACAAAAACAAAAAACCACAAGCTGAAACCAGTCAAAACAATTCTCCTTAAAACTGGTTTTTCTGCTTTGGGAAAAGTTGCTGGCAGCATCTTCAAATTAAAAAGCAAACAGACGGATCAGCAGAAAATACACCTCAGCAACACGACTGAGGTGTAACATATGATTCGCCCATATGTCTATTCTGCAAAGCCACGTATCGTCTGTAATTTTGGTAAATAACTTGAAAGCTTCACGTGGTTTGGACATCCTCAAACCACGTTAAGAAATGACTGGAGGAGGAGATGAGAGTGGGACAGATGACCAAGGAGTACATTTTTGATTTCTTTTGAAATGTGTAGACCAGAGGAAGGCCACCTTAGCTCTTTTAAGACTCGTGGACTTCAACTCCCAGAATTCCTGAGCCAGCCTGGCTCAGCTTAGAAACCACTCCCTTTCCCCTCAGCATGGCTGGCTCAGGAATTCTGGGAGTTGAAGTCCAGAGACATAAAAGAGCCAAGGTTGCCTACCCCTGGTGTAGACCAAACGTTGGTCAAAAATCTAGTTGTTGACTAGACTACGAAGTTCAAGCAACACAACGGAAGGCGACAGGGATCACCAATCCCTTCCATAGTGATTCCAAGAAAAGGTCCTTGATTTTTCCATCTAGTTACCAAAATTCAAGCTTAATTCGAAGGAAGTGTCCCCTTCAGTGTTCCTTTTCTAATGAAGTTCAACATGAGATGTAGGCCAGGGGTCCTCAGACTTGGCCACTTTAAGACTTGTGGACTTCAACTCCCAACATGGCTGGCTGGGGAATTCTGGGAGTTGAAGTCCACAAGTCATAAAGTGGCCAGGTTTGAGGACCCCTGATGTAGGCCAATGTAGGTAGAAGGACATCCCATTCCTTGACCAAGGAAGATGTAGGTGGAAGCATCTACATCTGCCTTGGTCCATCAATGAGACGTGGCTCCTCCCACAATGAGGAAGTTCCTCATGGGATTTCTTGGAAGCATCTACATCTGCCTTGGTCCCACCATAAATGGGACATGGCTCCTCCCACAATGATGTTCCTTATGAGTCTCCTTGGAAGCACCTACCTCTGCCTTGCTCCCACCATAAATGGGATGTGGCTCCTCCCACAATGATGAAGTTCCTCATGGGACTCCTTGGAACTACCTAGCTAAGCCTTGGCCCCATGACTAATCACGGCTCCGCACCGTGATTAAGTTCAGGGAGAGCCACAACGGGGACCTGCAGAACCCATCCCTGCATCGCTCTCCACCCCACCACCTGGTCCTTCCCACCTTCTCCACCCCAACGGGAAGAAGCGCAGACCTGTAAACTTGCGAAGCATCTCGGTGCAGATCTCCGCGACGGTTTCGTCGTCGTACTTCTCCATGATGAGGGCCTCCTCGCCACAGATCCAGCCGCTCAGGACGTGGCCGTAACGCTCTGGCGGGTAGAGGACGTCAAAGCTGCAGATCTTCTTGTACCACAGCTCCTCCGGGTAGGTGAGGCTCTCAGCTTCGGCCTCGTCTTCCCAGACGAACTGAAAGCTGTTGCATTCCGGGCTCCAGAAGGGCGCCTCAAATTCCAGGAAGATCTTATCGGTGGTGCTAATGCCCAGCTTCTGGATAGCCAGCACCTTCTCGTCAGGCAACGGCGGGTAGAACATGTCTTCGTGGCGCTTTTTCAGGACCCCCAAAGACACCGTCACGATGACGTGGTCGGCCAAGATGAACTCACAGTCTTCGCACTCCAGCAGGACGCTGTACCCTGCGTTGTCTTCCAGGCGGTCTTCGTTGTGGTCGGCCACTTGCTCGATCTCCTTGCTGATGGACTGGTTCCAGTGGATACACTTGACCGGCTTGTTCAGATGGATGACCGACTCCGGGATAGACCGGGACAGGATCTCCACGATTTTCATAAAGCCGCAAGGGATGATGTGGTGGGCTCCGGGGATCTCGGTCCACTCCCCAAATTCACTGAGAGAAACTTCATCCATGCTGTGAGAACTACTCTCACAACTTTCCACCTGCTCCAGAAGAATCAGAAGACAAGATTTCCGTTAGGATGTTCTTCTCCGGATGGGAGAACACGGATGGAAGCCGTTCCTTCCCAACCTGACAATCGTCCGGTATATATTAGGCCAATGTTAACCCTACAAGTTCAACTTCCAAATGTTGAGGCCAGTTCCCAGAATTCTCAGCTGTGGGTCTGCTAGCTGGGGAATTCTGGGAGTTGAAGTCCACACATCTGGCAGCTGTGAAGGTTAGAGAACGTTAGAGGACACTCTTATCTTTCACATACGTTACGTCCTGTTGATGTACTTAGTGGTTTACCCTGACCACAGACCCTCCTCAGTCTGATTTCTCGAGTTTCCAGCTGGTTTTCATCTCAACAGATCTAGAAGGGACCAGATTGAAGAAGATCGAAATTTTAAGCCAATCCTATTCATTGTCCACCAGCACCATATTTTTTTTTTGGGTGGTGATGGCTTCAGGTCAGTTTGGACTCTTGGTGACTGCCTGGACAAGTCTTGCATTTTGTTGGAAGCATATTTGGAAGTGGTTTTCCCTGGTCTTCTTCTTGTAGGGTTGAGATAGGGTCCAAGGCCACCCAGCTGGCTTCATGGTGGAAACAAGACCAGACCTCACCATCTCCCAACTTCTGATTCCATGCCTTTATTCACTATTCCAGACTACCTCTTAACAACCTAATACAGTTGACCATCTGCCCAGGGGTTGGCATCAGACACAATGCTTCTATGAGATGTTATGGCCCATATTTCTAACCTGAAGCATGAGGAATGTACGGTGGGCCACCAAGTTTTGAGCTCCACATCATATATACTACAGCATTCACCAACGTGAGAACTTAAGTTTGGACTGCAAACTGCACCCCTCTCAAGACAACTGCTGTCAATCATAAAATATGAGGGAATTCTGGGAGCTGTAGTCGCATCGGTTTCAGGGAATGTCTAGTTTAGTGAAAAGAAGGACTAGCAGGTGTCGTGATAGCAGTGTCCCAATATATAAGGGGCTTCCACAAAGAAGAGGGAGTCAAGCTATTCTCCAAAGCACCTGAAGGCAGGACAAGAAGCAACGGATGGAAATTAATCAAGGAGAAGAAGCAACCTAGAAATAAGGAGAACAATTAACCAGTGGAACAGCTTGCCTCCAGAAGTTGTGGGTGCTCTATAACTGGGGGTTTTCAAGAAGAGATTGGGCAAAAATCTGTCTGAAACAGTATAGGGCAGCGGTCTTCAAACTTGGCCCTTTTGTGACTTGTGGACTTCAACTCCCAGAATTCCTCAGCCAGCGTGCCTGGCTGAGGAATTCTGGGAGTTGAAGTCTACAAGTCATAAAAGAGCCAAGTTTGAAGACCCTTGGTATCGGGTCTCCTGCTTGAGCAGGGGGTTGGACTAGAAGACCTCCAAGGTCCCTTCCAACTCGTGTCATTCTGTTTTCAGCCTGGCGCCTCAACCGCGAAACCCCATTGGCTCCCATCCCCTCCTTACTTTCAGGTATTGTTGGATCATGGCAAGCTTCAGCTTCTTGACCGTCTCCGACTCGTCTGGATCGGCCTTGATGCGTTTGCGCACGACATCTCGCGTGAAGATCCCCACGCTATTTTGGCTGTCGGCATTGACTGGTTTACCATTCTGGAAAAACTCCTGAGTCAGGTTATAGACCTGTTTCGAGACGGAGAGAAGGTGCATAAGAGCAGAGAGCGTCAAGAACCCAAGCAGCTCTCACCACTTTCCACCTGCTCCAGAAGAATCAGAAGACAAGATTTCATTTAGGATGTTCTTCTCCTGATGAGAGAACACGGATGGAAGCCGTTCCTTCCCAACCTGACAATCGTCCGGTATATATTAGGCCCATGTTGACCCTATAAATTCAACTTCCAAATGTTGAGACCAGTTCCCAGAATTCTCAGCTGTGGGTCTGCTAGCTGGGGAATTCCACTTATCTGGAAGCGGTGAAGGTTAGAGAATGTTAGAGAACACTCTTATCTTTCACATACATTACATCCTCTTGATGTATTTAGCGCAGGGATCTTCAAACGTGGCCCTTTTATGACTGGTGGACTTCAACTCCCAGAATTCCTCAGCCAGCGTGCCTGGCTGAGGAATTCTGGGAGTTGAAGTGCACCACTCATAAAAGGGGCAAGTTTGAAGACCACTGATATAGACTTTAAGAGGAGTGGATTTCAACTTCCAGAATGCCTCAGCCAGTGTGCCTGGCTGAGGAATTCTGGGAGTTGAAGTCCACCAGTCATAAAAGAGCCAAGTTTGAAGACCCCCTGATATAGACTTTAAGAGGAGTGGACTTCAACTCCCAGAATGCCTCAGCCAGTGTGCCTGGCTGAGGAATTCTGGGAGTTGAAGTCCACAAGTCATAAAAGGGCCAAGTGTGAAGACCCCTGACCTAAGGTGAAGACAAGAAGTAATGGATGGAAACTCATCTAAGAGAGAACCAACCTTCCTCAGTCTGGTCTCTTGATCTTCCAGCTGGTTTTCACAAATCTAGAAGGGACCAGACTGAAGAAGATAGCAATTTTGCCATCTCAAGCCAATCTTATTCACTCTCCAGAGAAAAGCAACAAAGAAGATCAGGGGTCTGGATGCTAAACCACAGGAGGAACAACTGAAGGAACTCAGTAAGTCTAGTCCTGGGGTCTTCAAACTTGGCCCTTTTATGACTTTTGGACTTCAACTCCCAGAATTCCTCAGCCAGGCATGCGTGCCTGGCTGAGGAATTCTGGGAGTTGAAGTCCACAAGTCATAAAGGGGCCAAGTTTGAAGACCCCTGGTCTAGTCTAACAAAGAGAAAGACTAGGGGTGATATGGTAGCATCTTCCAGTACTTAAGCAAAGAGTCAACCTATTCTCCAGAGCACCTGAGGGCAGGACCCCACCATCCAGTCAGAGCTGAAGAAGCTTCTTGGCTGAGAAGCGAAACATCTTCAATGAAAAACAAAGAAGTCCAGTTGCCCCCTGGGGGGGGGGGAAGCACCTTTGGGATTGTGACTGAAAGTTTGGGGTGCTGAGTTTGCAGCCATCTTATGCTATTTCTCGCCAAGGTTCTTAAAATGAATCCCTGCAGCTGTGAAGTGGGTCACAGAATTGTGACGTGGATCTGTCTTCCCTGTTGATTTTGCTGGTGATCACGTGACCCTGAGGCACGGCAATCCTCATAAACGCCTGCCATTCGCTAAGTTCGATCATGCGACCGTGGGAACGCCGCCACAGTTGTGTGAAAAATGGCCCTAAGTCACTTTTTTTTTTCAGGGCCATTGTGACTTTGAACGGACACTAAAGGAACTAAATGAACCTGACGGTGAGAACAATTAACCAGTGGAACAACCTGCCTCCAGAAGTGGTGAATGCTCCAACACTGGAAGTTTTTAAGAAGAGACTGGACAGCCATTTGTCTGAAATGGTATAGAGTTTCCTGCCTGAGTAGGGGGTTGGACTAGATGACCTCCAAGATCCCTTCCAACTTTTATTATTATTATTATTATTATTATTGATCATCGCACAGTCAGCCAGATGTTCAGACTGGATTTGGCATTTTTGTCTACCTATCGAGCCCTTCCCAAGGACCTGGGATAGGCAGATGTGGATGTTTGATGGTATTACAGGTATCATCGCAGGATGGAAGCAGTGCCTAGTAAGGCCGCCTTTTGCAATTGACTAATAGCGAATTTGTCAATGCCAATGGTGTTCAATGGTGCTCCCGTTGTTTTGGGATTGCACCCAAGGCGCCTATAACTATTGGTACTACCCTTGCTTGCTTTTGCCACAGTCTTTCTATTTCTATTTGTGGGTCTTTGTATTTTGTGATCTTCTCCAGTTCTTTCTTGTCTATTCTGCTGTCTCCAGGCACTGCCACGTCCACTATTATTACTATTACTACTATTACTATTGTTAAGTCGAGGACTACCTGCCCACCTGCCAGCCTCTGTAAAATAATAGTCACTCTTTTGATTATGGCAAAAATCTGATATAATCTTCTGTTCAGCACCAGGTTGCTTAAGCCTTCCTAAGCAGCTTGCCGAAAGAAAGCAGATCCCACTTTTGCAAGACAAGCAAAATAAAATAAATCCGGTGTTTTACTTCCTTTGGGTTTCCGGTGTCTGGAGCAAACCAAAAGCCCTGATTTTCAAACACCGGTCTGAAAGGCCGGGCATAGCGTCCCAAAAGCAGAGAAGGGACTGTAGACCATTGATTAATACCTTGATCCTAATTCCCAGCTTTTTAAATGATGCTAGGAATGCTCTGAGTAAGAGGATATTAATGAATGTAGCTCGCTAATGAACAAGCCAACACAATGCTGACAGTCTCTAAGGAGTCTGGGAATCCCCCATGAAGGTCCTTAGGAGCAAAAAAAAATGTTGCATGTGATTTACTCCCAAACACCAAACATAAGGAGGCCCATGTAATCTTCTATATGGCAACAAAGAGGTCACCAATCTTATTAACTGGGCAACGATTGCTCCTTCCCCACAGCCAGACTTTAAGAAATGGTTCTATCACTCCAGCCACGATAAACAGTCATTGTTACCGGAAGCCACAGATAATCCAGGCCAGATAACTGATCCAGCCTTCTTGCAAAGCTATCTAAAGTGGTTATTTTTCCCATTCATCGGCAATAAATGAAATTGAAATAAAATAAGTAAAACAACTGGATGACGTTACATAAGGAAGTTGGGTTTGTTTGTTTTTTTTTCTCCTTTCCTAAATTTAACCTTAAAGACTGGTCTAGATTTGTCAGAGAAGGAAAACTTGGTTTCTTCAGAAAGGAAGGGAAGGAGACAGAAAGAGAAAGAGAGAATGAGAGGGAGAGAGGGAGGGAGAAAAATAGAGACAGAAGAAAGAAAGAAAGAAAGAAAGAAAGAAAGAAAGAAAGAAAGAAAGAGAGAGAGAGAGAGAGAGAGAGAGAGAGAGGAGGAGGGAGGGAGGGAGGAGAAGAAAGAAAGAAAGAAAGAAAGAAAGAAGAAAGGAGAAAGAGAAAAAGAGAAAGAGAGAAAGATACAAAGAAGAAAGAACGAAAGAAAGAAAGAAAGAAAGGAGAAAGAGAAAGAGAAAGAGAGAAAGATACAAAGAAGAAAGAAAGAAAGAAAGAAAGAAAGAAAGAAAGAAAGAAAGAAAGAAAGAAAGAAAGAGGAAGGAGGTAGGGAGGGAAAGAGAAAGAGAGGGAAGGAGGGAAGGAGGGAGAAAGAAAGATAAAGAGAGAGAAAGATACAAAGAAGAAAGAAAGAAAGAAAGAAAGAAAGAAAGAAAGAAAGAAAGAAAGAAAGAAAGAAAGAAAGAGGAAGGAAGGAAGGAAGGAAGGAAGGAGAGAGAGGGGGAGGAAGGAAGACAAAAAGAAAAAGAGAAAAGAAAAGAAAGAAAGAAAGAAAGAAAGAAAGAAAGAAAGAAAGAGAAGGAAGGAAGGAAGGAAGGAAGGAAGGAAGGAAGGAAGGAAGGAAGGAAGGAAGGAAGGAAGGAAGAGAGAAAAGACAAAAAGAAAAAGAGAGAAAGAGAAAGAAAGAAAGAAAGAAAGGAAGGAAGGAAGAAAGAAAGGAAGGAAGGAAGGAAGGAAGGAGGGAGGGAAGGAAGGAGAAATGACCTTCAGAGATCAGCAAGGGCTTTCCCAGAGCCTCGATCTACAAACCTCGTTGTATAAATCACTGAATTCTTCAACCACGTCTTTCGGGATCCTCTGCCCGCTGCTGGTGAGGTGATAGGCCACCCCATTCCTGGAGTAGAGGCTGATGCGACCCACGCTCCGCTCATCGTCGGTTGTCTCTTCGAGTAAGCCATTATCTTCTGCTAGATGATAGACGGGATTTCCATTCGAACCGTGGATCCACGTCGCTCCCAGTTCAAAAGTTGCGTTCGCTGCGACGGGAAGGGAGGGAGGGAGGGAGGGTTAGAGAGGGAAACCAAGGTGGATCCGAGAAAGAGATCTGCCTTATCCAAACCAATGGAGAATCAAAGCAAGATCATCAGATCCAGGAATCTATAACGCCAGGGCCAACATGGAGGCTACTGACCACCCTCAATCAGAGGAATTGTCTGAATGATTATTTATTATCTATCTATCTATCTATCTATCTATCTATCTATCTATCTATCTATCTATCTATCTATCTACCTACCTACCTACCTACCTACCTATGTATCTATCTATCTATCTACCTACCTATCTGTCTACCTATCTATCTATCTATCTATCTATCTACCTATCTATCTATCATCAATCTATCTCTATCTCTATATCCATCTATCTATCTGTATCTATCTGTATCTATCTATATCCATCCATCCATCCATCCATCTATCCCACCTTTATTGTTTTTTTTTATAAATAACTCAAGGCAGCAAACAAATCCAACACAACTTCCTCCTCCTCCTATTTTCCTCACAACAACCCTGTGAGGTGAGTTGGGTTGAGAGAGAGGGGCTGGCCCAAAGTCACCCACCTGTCTTCAATGCCCTAAGGCGGGACTAGAACTCACCATCTCCTGGTTGATTGGCCCACTCAGCTGCCTTCAATGCCTAAGGCGGGACTAGAACTCACCATCTCCTGGTTGATTGGCCGAAAGTCACCCAGCTGACTTCGATGCCTAAGGCGGGACCAGTACTGTTGATTGGCCCAAAGTCACCCAGCTGGCATTGATGCCTAAGGCGGGTCTAGAACTCACCGCCTTCTGGTTGATTGGCCCAAAGTCACTCAACTGGCTTCGATGCCTAAGGCAGGACTAAACTCACCGTCTCCCAGTGACTGGCGTAAAGTTGCCCAGCTAAGGTAAGAGTTGAACTCATGACCTCGTGCTTTCTAGCCTGATTCCTTTAACCCAGTGGTTCTCAACCTGTGGGTCGGGACCCCATTTGGGGTCGAACGACCATTTCACAGGGGTCGCCAAACAACACAGTCTGCCATTTTTTTCCCCCTTTTCCTTAGCTGTGAAACTCCCTTTTATTCTATTGGCTTTTGAAAGCCAATAGAATAGACTCTCTTGAATAGAGTCTAATTCTACTGGCTTTCAAAAGCCAATAGGAATTGTCCAGGCTGTCTCTGCCCTGCTGAGCCCGCCAAAAGCCCCAGTCTGGAAACGGTGCTGCACCAGTTGAGTAGTCCTCGACTTACGACCGGTTGAGTAGTTCTCGACTTACGACCGGTTGGGGGTCGCGGCATTAAAAAGGTTGAGAACCACTTCTTTAACCAGTAGGCCAACTGGCTCCTTATGAAGGACAGGAGAAGAGTCTCTGCACTCACTGAATCAACCCTTAATTTATGCAAGAAGCATAAAGGGGAAGCAGATTAAAGGACCTCGTGGAAAGACGTGTCCTGCCAATAATTTGGGGGACAAGCAAATGTGTCACAATGCTCTCTTCATCAATACAGACAGTCCTTGACTTACAACTGTTTGTTTAGTGACGATTCAAAGTACAGTATAGTACTTCAGTCCAACAGCACCGAAAAAAGGAACTTATGACCATTTTTCACATTTATGACCATTGCAGCCTCCCCCTGGTCACGTGATCATAATCCAGATGCTTGGCAACTGACTCATATTTATGACCGGTTGCAGTGTCCCCCGGGGCTCACTGGAAATGGAAATATATGAAGAACGGCTGCAGGAATTGGGCACGGGGTCCACGAGAGCAGAATTCCAGTATCTCAGGGGCTGCCCCAAAGAAGAGGGGGTCAACTTATTTTCCAAAGCACCAGAGGGCAGAACAAGAAACAATGGGTGGAAACGGATCAAGGAGAGAAGCAACCTGGAATTAAGGAGAAACTTCCCCACAGTGAGGACAATTAACCAGTGGAACAGCTTGCCACCAGAAGTTGTGGGCGCTTCATCACTGGAGGTTTTTAAGACGAGGCTAGACAGTCACTGGTCTGAAATGGTATAGGTTCTCCTGCTGAGTGGGGGGCTGGACTAGAAGACCTCCAAGGTCCCTTCCAGCTCTATTCTCATTGATGAATAGAATAGGATAGAATAGAATAATGATAATAGGATAGGATAGGATAGGATAGGATAGGATAGGATAGGATAGGATAGGATAGGATAGGATAGGATAGGATAGGATAGGATAGGATAGGATAGGAATAGGATAGGATAGGATAGATAGGAATAGAATAGAATAGAATAGAATAGAATAGAATAGAATAGAATAGGAATAGAATAGAATAGGACAGGACAGGATAGGATTAAATAAGAAGAATAGAATAGAATAGAATAGAATAGAATAGAATAGAATAGAATAGAATAGAATAGAATAGAATAGAATAGGAATAGGAATAGGACAGGACAGGATAGGATATGATAGGATTAAATAAGAAGAATAGAATAGAATAAGACAATGGAATGGAATAGAATAATAGAGTTGGAAGGGACCTTAGAGGTCATCTAGTCCAAACCCCTGCTCAGGCAGGAAACCCTAAATCATTTCAGACAAATATGGCTGTCCAGTCTCCTCTTGAAAACTTCCAGTGTTGGGTTGATGGAAGCCCGCGCAGGAACAGCCCTGTCTCTGCCAGTGCTGGGTGCAAGCTACAGTAGGTTGACTTGCCCCCTAAATTTTTCGAATCGCACCCTGGCGGGTCAACGGGACCCGTCTTTCTCGTGAGAACGCTGGACGGATCGTGCCATTTCTCAAGCCTCATCCCAGCCGGCCCCGCTGACGTCCCTACCCCAAGAGCCGAAACCAGGAAACATCGCACAGGTGTGTTGACAGACGCGATGGTCCTCTAAGGAGTTGGGACAGTGAAGAACTTCCGTCCTGTCTGGCAGAACGCCCAGACCGGGGTCTATTTTGGGACCCCGGCCTTTTTGGCAGCCGAGGACCCCACTTCCCCTTCCAGATTTGTCGCCAAGGGCCGCACGACGCTCATAGTTCTTGGCTGAAAAGACGGATGTTGGACTCGTTAAGTTTCCTTTCTGGTCTGCTTCCCTCCCAGAAGCTCTTCAGATGCCTCCTGGTTTAATTTACTGCTGGGTGTTGATCAACCCAATGGAAGGGTGTGAGGTCAGAGAAAAGGAAGATTAAGCTACAATTCTCCCAGTTAATAAATACAAGCTCTTTCGGGAGATGTTGAGACAAGGGGAATTCCGATTATCAGATTTAAAACATTTGGAAATCAGTCGAAAACAAGGGTTTTATCGGTTCAGGATTTAAAAATTAGATCCAAAAGGGAAAAGAAAATTAAATACTATGAATACGTTTGACTTACTGATTAACCCAGGCAATATATATCTAATGGTTCTTGATTTATTAAAGGGGATATTGTGTTATTAAGCAGATGACTTAATACAGTGGGAAATAGAGAATTCTTAGGCATGTGGGTTTGTGGCTTTTGGCCCTGATTATTTTTCACTTTTTCTTTTTTTTAATAAAAACTTCTGTACTGGCATTCACGAAAGGAAGCATGTGTCAACTGAGGACAGGATCCCAGGAAGAAACACTTCCAGGATGTAAGACACAATTAATTGCTCTGTTTGTCGGCAAGGATTTGTTTTGTTTTTGCCAAAAATGCTCCAGGGGGGGGTGCTATTTATAGGCGCCCGAAGGTGGAAGACAAGGTATTTATAATGCGGACCAGCAGACCCGGCATGTATCCGAGGCCGACGAAAGGCTGGGAGAAAAAAAAAAACTTCTCACTCAACATTCACTGCGAAAGCGGAAGGACCTTTGGACCCCAGGAAACAGTAGCAGAATTGTGACCCGAAAAATCAGAGGAAAGGTAAACTGAGGCAAGGCTAGCCCAGGGACAGAACGGGGGGGGGGGAACGGCAGCTTTTTTTAACACCGGCTTTTCCCATTTACCAGTTTGAAAGAGGAGACTTCGGCCAGGAATTTTCAAGACCATCAGAAGCTCAGAACAGAAATTCCAAGTAGAGATAGTCCCGGACTTACAATTATTCGTTTAGTGACGGTTTCAAAGTTACAACGGCAGCGAAAAGGAGGGTCCTAGTGACTGTTTTTCACACCCACGACCGTTTGCAGCGTCCTCACGGTCACGTCATCCGAATTCGGGACGCTTGGTGATATTTATATGAGGGTTGTGGTGTCCTTGGGTCACGTGACCCTGGTTTTTGCCACTTTCCGACAGTCAGCATCAAGGGGGAACCCAGATTTGGGTCTTTTCAGAGAATTTGAGTGCGAATTTGAATGTATATGGCCCTAAGGCAGTGGTTCTCAACCTGTGGGTCGGGATCCCATTTGGAGTCGAACGACCATTTCACGGGGGTCGCCAAACAACGCAGTCCGCCATTTTTTCCCCCCTTTTCCTTAGCTGTGCTACTCCCTTTTATTCTATTAGCTTTTGGAAGCCAATAGAATAGACTCTCTTGAATAGAGTCTAATTCTATTGGCTTTCCAAAGCCAATAGGAATTGTCCAGGCTGTCTCTGCCCTGCTGAGCCCGCCAAAAGTCCCATTCTGCAAATGGTGCTGCACCAGTTGAGTAGTCCTCGACTTACGACCCGTTGAATAGTCCTCGACTTACGACCGGTTGGGGTCACGGCATTAAAAGGTTGAGAACCACTGCCCTAAGGCGTCTATTTCACCCTTTGATTCCCACACCCTGAAAAAATTACGATCGACTTTAAGGATACTAGGAGTTCTCTACCATGTACCCATTTCTCCAATTTGCGCACGCGCACATATACACATACACACACACACATACAAAAGAGCCAATGGTGAAGGCACTGGCCTAGAAATCAGGAGACGGCGAGTTCTAGTTCTGCCTTAAGCATGAGCCAATCACCAGGAGACGGCGAGTTCTAGTCCCCCCTTAGGCATGAAAGCCCATTGGGTGACTTTGGGCCAATCGCCAGGCGATTGTGAATTGTAGTCCCACCTTAGGCATGGAAGCCCACTGGGTGACTTTGAGCCAATCACTAGTAGACTGTGAGTTCTAATCCCGCCTTAGACATGAAAGCTGACTGGGTGACTTTGGGCCAATCACCACGAGACGGTGAGTTCTAGTCTTGCCTTGGTCATGAAAGTCAACTGGGTGACTTTGGGCTAATCACCAGGAAGCTGTGAGTTCTAGTTCCGCCTTAGGCATAAAAGCCGGCTGGGTGACTTTGGGCCAGTCATTCTCTCTCAGCCCAGCCCACTTCACAGGGTTGTTGTGAGGAAAGTAAGAAGAGGAAAGAGTATTAAATATGGTCACCAACTTGGGTTACTTTATAAATTAATAAAGGCGGGATACAAATTTAATAAATTAATAAATCTTTAAAACATCAATCCTGCATACTCTGAGACCAGAACCGGTATGCTGGGGGTCCCTCTGCAACTTCAGGATCCCATCTCCATCCTTGAGAATAACAGAGCTGGAAAGGACCTTGGAGGTCATCTAGTCCAACCCCCTGCTCAAGCAGGAAACCCCATGCCATTTTATAACTGAATAACAGAATAACAGAGCTGGAAGAGACCTTGGAGGTCATCTAGTCCAACCCCCTGCTCAGGCAGGACACCCCACGCCATTTTATAACTGAATAACAGAATAACAGAGCTGGAAGGGACCTTGGAGGTCATCTAGTCCAACCCCCTGCTCAGGCAGGAAACCCTACGCCATTTTATAACTGAATAAAAGAATAACAGAGCTGGAAAGGACCTTGGAGGTCATCTAGTCCAACCCCCTGCTCAAGCAGGAAACCCCATGCCATTTTATAACTGAATAACAGAATAACAGAGCTGGAAGAGACCTTGGAGGTCATCTAGTCCAACCCCCTGCTCAGGCAGGACACCCCACGCCATTTTATAACTGAATAACAGAATAACAGAGCTGGAAGGGACCTTGGAGGTCATCTAGTCCAACCCCCTGCTCAGGCAGGAAACCCTACGCCATTTTATAACTGAATAACAGAATAACAGAGCTGGAAAGGACCTTGGAGGTCATCTAGTCCAACCCCCTGCTCAGGCAGGAAACCCTACGCCATTTTATAACTGAATAACAGAATAACAGAGCTGGAAAGGATCTTGGAGGTCATCTAGTCCAACCCCCTGCTCAGGAAGGACACCCCACGCCATTTTATAACTGAATATCAGAATAACAGAGCTGGAAGGGACCTTGGAGGTCATCTAGTCCAACCCCCTGCTCAGGCAGGAAACCCTATGCCATTTAATAACTGAATAACAGAATAACAGAGCTGGAAGGGACCTTGGAGGTCATCTAGTCCAACCCCCTGCTCAGGAAGGAAACTCTACGCCATGTCAGTGCCGTCACCCTTACCGAGTCTCACGCTTTGGACTCTGCCTCCGATTCGATCCGACGCTTCAAGGACCGTCACATCCGTGAAGCCGTTTGCTAGGAGAGTTTTGGCTGCCGAGAGGCCAGCAAGGCCCGCCCCGATCACTACTATTCGCGGCTGTCGTGCTCCTCGTGGCCTACTACTAAGGGGGTCATCCGTACTCTCTTCCGATGTATCACCACTTTGCATGCCGTCCAAACTCTCTTCCTAAAGAACCTGCCAAGAGATCCAAATAAAAAAATTTTAAAAAAATAAACCCAAAAAATATAAATAAACCTCCAACCCTTCAGTGGATCCACTATGGCCAGGCTCTCCCTCCTGTCCTTTAAGATCCCGTTCAGCCCCTGAGACTTTGGAGAATCGTCCGAGCTGCAGGATAAGCTGCCCTAAAATCCTGCAGCAAGAAGCAATGAAGACCCAGCCTGGAATTTTTAAAAAAATGCCTCTGACTTGGAGGATGAACAGCTTCAGAAACTACCCAGTGATCAAAAGCAGCATTTTTAGAGCCTGCACCCATTTTTAAGACCGGGTGTTTCTTTTTATAGACGGGCCCGATCTACCGGAGGGGCAATTTTGTGGTCAAACCAGACGCTGCCCCGTGGCTGCAGCTGAGCACGTCAGCTGGTTTTGCTTCTTGAGACTCACAGCAACACGTTAGAAGATACAAGCTGCCCACTTTGGGGGAGTCAAGCACCCCACTGAGCCTTTGAAGTGGAGGGGTTGGGGGACCCTCTAGAAGGCTGGCTGCAGAGCCACGAGAAAGCTGGCCCCACCCCAAAATTGAAAAAAGAGGTCAGGAGAAGGAATACGATAACGCTGCAGTGAATAGTACAGTAGAGAATTGTAGTGAAAAAGGAGGGTTTAGAATAGAATAGAATAGAATAGAATAGAATAGAATAGAATAGAATAGAATAGAATAGAATAGAATAGAATAGAATAGAATAGAATAGATATTGGAATATGGAAAAGAATTAGGATAGAATAGAACAGAACAGAACAGAACAGAATAGAATAGAATAGATATTGGAATATGGAAAAGAATTAGAATAGAATAGAATAGAATAGAATAGAATAGAATAGAATAGAATAGAATAGAATAGAATAGAATAGAATAGAATAGAATAGGACAGGAAGACCTGGAGGAACGTTGTCCATGGGGTCGCGATGGGTCGGACACGACTTCGCAATTAACAACAACAACAACAACAAAGAATAGAATAGAATAGAATAGAATAGAATAGAATAGAATAGAATAGAATAGAATAGAATAGAATAGAATAGAATAGATATTGGAATATGGAAAAGAATTAGAATAGAATAGAATAGAATAGAATAGAATAGAATAGAATAGAATAGAATATCATCTGTCTATCTACACAGTAGAGATAGATGATGGATAGATGATGGATAAATGATGGATGGATGGATATACAGACAGAGCAGACAAAGACAGATAGGACAGACAGACAGTCATGGAAGGCCACTGATACTTTAGATGAGTTTATTGCAAACCATTTTTTTAAACTCTTTGATTTACTGCAAGGGGAATTTTGGCTTGAAAATGGTGATATATTAAACTAAAACATCACTTCATATTTGTTTTTTGTTGCATCTGGCTCCAAATGTACAGTATCGACCTAATAGAATAGAACAGAATGCAGAATAGAACAGAATGCAGAATAGAATAGAATGGAATGGAATGGATTGGACTGGAAACGGAACGGAACAGAACAGAACAGAAATTCTGGGAGCTGGTCCACACACACTGACTGCGGAATTCTGGGAGTTGAAGCCCACCCATCTTAAAGTTTGCCAAGGTTGAAAAACACTGCTTTAGGCCAATGCCATCAAATTCCTTACTTGCCGGATTTTGATGTATGCATGTTTACACGTATGCATTCACACCCATGCCCAAACACACACCAATACACAAATACAGACACTCCGCCATAGATTTCTCTGCTCTCTGGAGATAATAGGCCTAATCTGACAAAGGCGATAATATCTTAGTTAGGAAACTGTCACTTAACAAGTTTTTTCTTCTTCTTTTTTTTTCTAAAGAATCTGAAGCCATTACAAACCTCAAAACTATCTAAAACCATTAAGGAAGGAATTTTGTGGGCATCTCCTGCAGATAAGGCTTGATTTATACAACTGGCAGGAAAAGATCAACATAGCCTATGTACGTTCTCACTATTGTCCTCTGGAATAAAATAAAATAAAATAAAATAAGTGTTCATGTTGGCATCCAAACAGGGGTCTTATCTGGTTCTTGGGAAGTGGGGGCATCTGGCGTGGAAGCATCTGGGTTTGATAAAACTTTTTGATGCCTGCTTTAAAAGTTCTGAGCAGAAGACCACACTTAGAGATCACACAGGTAGTCCTTGACTTATAACCATCCGTTTAATGACCGTTTGAAGTTTCAAGACCGTTGCAGCATTCAAAATTGTAGTGTTCAAAATTCAGAGGCCTTAATATTGGAAAAATTACACTGAAAAGGGAAAAGAAAATTAAATATTATAAATATGTTTGATTTGTTGATTAACCCAGGCAATATATATATAATGGTTTTGATTTATCAAAATGGATATTGTATTATTAAGTAGATGATTAAATATGGTGGGAAACAGATAACTCTTAGGAAATAGAACAAGGTTATAGTCAAATAGATAAAATGTGTATTTTGGATATTATAGTTTGTTATGAAGTGAGATAAAGAAATTTTGGTGGTTACCCCAAATCTGAAAATGATAAACATTTAAATTGGAATATTGGTAAGAAATTAAAAATTGAGTAAAAATCAACAACAGGATATGGCTTGTTTATGAAGATTGAATGTAATTAAGATGTGTATAAGCTAAAAGTTTATTGATAAATGTAATAATGATGTTCTGATTGAGTTGATATAATTAGAAACGTACTAATCTGAATATGAGACAGTAAATGTTAAGGGAAAAAAGAGAAGAATTATTTGATGTTGTGACCTGAGATTTGCAGTAAGGCTTTGTTGCTGAAGTATTGATTAACCCAGTCACCATGCTGCTTTTTAAATATTCAAACGGAAAATTGGAAAATTAATAAAATATTACAATAAAAAAAAAATTTGGAGGCTTTGGCAACTGGTTCGTATTCATGACGGTTTGCAGTGTCCCGGGGTCACGTGATCCCCTTCTGGCCAGTCAAGTCGACAGATTCGCTTAACAGCCATGTTGTTAACTTAACAACTGTGGCGATTCGCTTACCGACAGTGGCAGGAAGGGTGGTAAAATGGAGCCAAACTCACTTAAGACGGTCTCGTTTAGCAACGGAGATTTTGGGCTGAATTGTGGGCCGTAGACCCAAGGCTTCCTCTGTGTGAAAGTTATGGATTTGGAGGCCTGGAATATCTTCAGGACTAGCAACACAAAGCATTGGATGTACCGTATGAAGACTTTATGGATTTGGCAAAATGTGCCCCAAATGTGGCCCTTGGAGCTTGGTCATTTATCCCAGGGCAGGGCAGAAAAGCTTGCGCAGCCAGGAAGGCTCTCCACCCATTTGCACTGCTCAGGTATACTATAGCAGGGCTTTTTAACCAGTGGTACGGGTACCACCTGTGGTACATTGGCACCTGGCAGGTGGTATGCGACCATCCTAGAAAAGTGGTAGCAGGGGAGGGGAATGAGCTGAACCGGTGGCAGCACCGCACAAGCCTGAGCGAAAGACGGCTGGAGCTGCAGGGCTGTCAGGGCTCAGCCGAAGCGCCAGGATCAGCACTTCTTTGGGGCTGTCAGGGTTCAGTGGAAGTGCCAGGATCAGTGCCAGGCTTCAGCTGGAACTTGGCGCTGATCCTGGTGCTTCTGCTGAGCCCAGAAGAGGCGCCGATCAGCTGGAATGTTGCAGCCTCTCCAAGGTCTTATGATTTACATTCAGATGCTTGGCAACCGATTCATATTTATGACGGTCACAGTGCCCCAGGGTCATGTGAAGTGACCAAAACCTGCTGCATCCACCCAGCAGATGGGGGGAATAAAATCCAAACACCCCCCCACCCCACCCCCACTGCCAATCCTCAACAGAAATGCTCACAATGAAAACCTCGGACAGGAGGAAGAGCGCCGCCAGGCGGGCAGGCAGGTGTCTTGCTCGGCTGTGGCTTGGGGGGCACTTTTTTCAGTGCCATTGTAACTTCGAACAGTCACTAAGCGAACTGTTGTAAGTCGAGGACTACCTGTATTTTATCACTTTTTTTTTGGTCCTCAGGTTTTTGACACCTTGCTAGGCGACTGGTGGTACTCGGATGTTGCCCTATCCTAAAAGTGGTACAATGGGTGAAAAGGTTGAAAAGCCCTGATCTTGAGGACACAGATAAACCTCCCGGTGGCCTCAACGACTCTCTCAACGGAGGCAAAGGACCAGCTGACTGCAAGGCGTATAAATCCTTCCATGCCCCACCATCCAGTCAGAGCTGAAGAAGCTTCTTAGATGAGAAGCGAAACGTCTTCAAAGAAGGAAGTCCAGTTGCCTCCTGAAAAAGCTCCTTTGGGACAACCAGGACCTCTGTGACTTAAGAGTCTCCGTGGACATTTAGGTTCTCGGGGTGGGACTCAAACTTTAAGTCCCCTCCGCCTCGCCTGGAATCCCAGACGAAAAGGCCAGCTCAAAATGCAATCCTTCAATCCAAGAGGGAGAGAAAAGAGAGCAAGAGCGAGAGCGAGAGAGAGTGAGTGGGGGGGGGCAACCTTCTGCTTGTTTACGTCTCGTTGGCAAGAATGGCATAAACAGCAGGAGGAAACCAGGCCCTGTCCTGGCAGACGGCATCCGTGTCTCCAAAATGCCATGTGTGTAATTTCCTGTCATCCGCCAAACGTTAGCAGCGTTGAGGTTTATTTTCCAGACAGCCTTTGCTTTGCAAGGCACCTTTCAAGTCGCGGGGGGGGGAGGGGTCCTTGGTGCTCTCTGAGCTTTGTTGTCTTCTTGCAGACGTTTCGTTACCCAACTAGCGAACATCATCAGCGCTCGAAGGGGGTAAGGTTTGCTGAGAGGAGGAGGGGGGAGGGGGGAGGAGGAAGAGGAGGAGGAGGACTGTGGTGTCCTTGGTGCTCTGAGCTTGTTCGTTTTCTTGCAGACATTTCATTACCCAACTAGATAACATCATCAGTGCTAGAAGGGGTGGGGTTTGCTGAGCAGAGGAGGAGGAGGAGGTGGGGGAGAACAAAGAGGTGGGGGAAGGGGGA